AGGGCACCCAGGGCCAGGGCTAGCACAGCAGGAGGTGCCAGGGATCAAACCCTGGTCCTTGCACTAGCGTAAGCAGGCGCAGGGACCAGAGTTTGATCCCCTGTCTGGCATGCTGTGCCAGCCCCACCCCCAGGGTGCGATAAGCCATCTACTGAGCCAGGCGTGGTGGCGCACGCCCATAATCTCAGCGCTGAGGAGGCTGCAAACGGGAGGATCACCACGAGTCTGAGCTGCGTAGTGAGACCCTGTACCAAATACATGAAATGAAAAATAATAGTTTAAATATTGACTATTTCTCAGCCATACTTATATAAACAATTCACATCAAGTATTAATAAGACAAATTTAATAAAATTCCTGTATAGTCTCCTCCAGGGAAACAAAGGTGACCGTTCAATTCATAGAATAAACTTTAAAGCAATAGGACTGTGCACCCATCTCAGCAGGTACAGAGTTGTGTGCTGTAGCCTCCAGCAGCTTCTGGTGAAAGCTCTTAGCAGTCTGGAACAAAAGGAAAGTTGTGGAATTCTCTAACCACTCCAGTGGTCTGAAAGCATCACAATGAGAATCATTAGAAGTTGTGCTGGGGCCGGGGAGATGGCTCAGTGGAATAAGCGCTTCCCTGGCAAGTGCAAGGGCCTGAGTTCAATCCCCGGTTCCGCCAAAAAGAAGTTGTGCTGTGTAGCTTAGTGGGTTAAGCAGCCTGCTTAGGCAAGCCCAGGGGTTCAATGGAGTTCAATCCCCTGCACCTCAGGCCACACCCACCCCACCTGCCACTCTGAGCTGGCCACCACATCAGGCGCTGTGGTGCATGTCAGTAATCCCAGCGCTGGGGAGGCCATTTTCTAATTGGATTGTTGATACTGTTGAGCTTTAAAAGCTCTTTATGTTACATACCAACTTCGTTAGAATGCCGTGTGAATATTTTCTCCCGGTTTGTCACTTGCCTTGCATCATCTTCATAGGCTCTCACATAGCATGCATTTTAAGTTTTGATAATCACCTTAGCAATTTTGCTTTTGGTGCCCTGCTTAAGAATTGTACGTAGCGGTAGGTTATGAAGATTTTCTCCTACTAGTCTTGTGGTGGTATATTTTGCATTTGAGTCCAGATTCCATTGTGAATTAATTATTATTATGGTGTAAGACTCAGTATCCAAGTGCTCCAGCACCTCTTGCTGATACACCATCCTTTTCTGAATTTTCTTCGATTCTTTGGCAGTATCTCCTATGTTTAGTGTACGTACTGGAGAGCGCGGTCATTTTGCCATCCCATTCTTCTTTCCTCCAGGAAGGCCTCTGGATACCTTCTTTGCAGGCAACCCCATGATTGAGGTATAGTGTAAGGGCCATGTAGTATTTACCATCACTGGCAAAAGCAGAGCAGTGAGTGAAGCTCAATGTAGATGGGTGAGATGGCAGCTCTTCTTCCTTCCTGGCCCTTCTAATACCTTCACGACAAAAGTAGACATTCATTCGTATATCCGTTTTGCCTCCCAGTGGGCACATAAGCCCAGAGACACCAGGGGAGGGGACAGGGAAGTGGAGTGCTAGCTACTGCATTGCCCCACACCTTGTGTCTTGCTGATGCAAGATTATTCTTTTTAACACTGTAACACTCCACTGTGTTCTCATTCAGACCCTCCACTAGGGCTACATGGGCATCTTTTTATTTCGTGGGCCTTGACATTGACTCAGTGAAATCCAGGAGCAAGTTGGGTTTTTTGGATTTGTTTGTTTTGTGGAGGTCGCATTTGCATGTGTCTGGGACTGTGATGGCTGCGTCTGGGTGTCCAGGAAGCCACGCAATTCCCTATGCCCCAAAGCTAGTGCATTGCTGTCCACTGCATGGGGTGGGTGGCATTAAGCACTTGCTGATCTTGCTCCCTGGGATATGGAAAGCCTGCTCTGAAGCTGACCCTCTCATCAGAGAGTAGAGGGACCCAGAGACACAGCCAGAGTACGTGATTCCCAGGTCTCGGGGCTGCACATTGAATTGCTAGATTGGGAGGTGTCATTTGCTTACACACACAAATGGCAGATTTCAGAGAATCTTGCTCACTCGTGTGTAGGTGCAGGCCTCAGGGAGCGCCTGCCTGTGGCCCCATGGGAACCATAGCAGGTAACAGGAGAGCCAGTTCCAAGGTGCATGTGGCCAGAGAGAGACTTACCCCCCTGGCCTTGGTTGGAGGTGCCCTACAGTACGTCCTTCCGTTGGCAGGCTTTATCAGGAAGTACAGACCAGCAATGAGCCTCAGCTTCCCATGCAGCCTCCCCAGTCTGCCTGCCTTCCAGGAGCAGAGATGGACCAGAGCAGCTGGACATGGGAGGCTGGACAGAGCGGGGCCCTACCTGGGGGACCTTAGCCATGCCCTCAGAAGGAGGCGGGCCACACGCCTGCTTCTCACAGGCCTGACCCTGAACCCATGGGAGCTTTGCAGTGGGAAAAGGCCACCAGAGCTGGGGTGGGGTGGGGGGTGAGTGCACCCAAAGGTGCTAAGAGTGGCTGATGAATGCTGGGAAGGCTGGGTGTGCCTTATTTCTCAAAATGACTCTACACATAGTGAACCCAAGCATATGTCACAGAACACAGGGTGGACTGGGATGAACAGATGACTAATGCAGAGGTGACCATGATGTGTTAGCTGGCCGTCTGGGAACTGAGTGCTGGGGTGTTTAGTGGAAGTTCTCAGGAATCTGACCCTTGAGGTTTGAATCACACTAAAGAGCCCTTATGTTCTCATGCAAAAGGTATTTATTGAGATCTTTAGGAACCTTTGGCTTTGGGAGGCGTCATCCCCCACCTCCTGGGTTTACATACAGCGGAGTACACCTCCTCACTCTCAGAGGCTGCACCTGTGATAATCGCAAGAAAACACCTCACAGGGAAGGAATTGGAAGTAGGCTTACCTGAAGGCAGGAATCCCGCCGGGCCTGGGATGGGGGAGGGCACCGCGTTTCCTGCTCCCTTGCGCGGGAGCCCACATCTCCATTTCACCTGCTAAGAGTCTTGCTCGCCTGTGGCTCAGGGCCTGCCTGGCCCCCTGAGCAGTCACAGTCTGAGCTGTTGGGGCTGGGATGTAGCTCAGTGGTGCAATGTGTTGGGGTTTTTTTTGTTTTGGTTTTTTTTTTTTTTTGCCACCTCATCCTCAATATCCTTCTTCCCTGCACCTTTACCAGGATTCTGGACCTATAGGTCTCCTGGATCCTGATGTCACAGACAGCAGCAGCTGTCTCCACCTTGCTGGATGGCATCCAGGAGGAGTGTGGATGCACAACAGAACTGATCGCTGTGGATTAGATGACCAAAACAGGCAGTAGCCTAATCACATAACCCAGACAGAAGTAGGAGAAAGTGGAGACCAGATGGACGGGTCCCCAAAGGGATAGTGCACCTTCTACCAAGTTTTAAAAATTAATAGTACATGCTGGACCTCTAATCACAGCCACTTGGGAGTCTGAGACAGGAAAATCACAAATTTAGGCCCAGCCTGAGCAAGACCCTATATTCTTTTTTTTTTTTTTTTTAATGGGAAGCAGTGGGCATGGAGCTCACTGTAGCGCTCATCCCAGTGTGCACTAGGCTTGGGCTGAACCCTTGACGCCACAATAAAACCAGTGGTGGTTATGTTCATAATGGAAATTTGGGTGTCTTTCAGACTTAGGACGACTGACAATAACATGTAAAATGAATAAAAAGAGGCAGATTGGCACATGAGTGGCCTAAGATTGCAAGAGTACCAAGTGAGAGCCAAGAAGGAGTTTCTGTAGATCTGCCAGAAACAGGACACCTGGACATCAAGAAAAGCCAGGGCTGGGTCTAGTTCAGTGAGGAGGAGCTGGCTAGGTCCCGGATTCTCCCCCCTGCATCACGAAGAGAGGTCTTTGCTTTTCCTTTGTTGTTTGTTTGCTAGTGTGGGGTGCGAGGAGACCATCTGTCACACTAAGGAAGCAGAAGATAAGGTGGGGTGCTAACCTGGCTTTAAGGGTGACTTCCCGCTGCATTCCACAAAACCTCCACTGACGGGGAGGGACCAGAGGGATGTGGTGCGACCACCCAGGGCTGGGGGCACACTGGCCTGACCCACGGAGTCTCTGGGTGTGGAGCAGTGGGGAGCAGAGGCTGCCTATGGTTGTGTGTGTTCTCCCCACAGACCATGCTGGCATCTGGTGACCCCTAATGATCTGGTTATGGGTGCTTAATTGGAACCATCACCTCGCTGGGCAAAGCAGCTCTGCACTCACCCTCATTCTTCTGTGTAATTGTGCAACCTACTTCTGGCTTCAAGTAGCCTCCAAGATATGTTTATGGCCCCAAAGATTACAAAAGTTCTCCCTGGGAAGCCAGGACCCGTGATGTCCCGGACGTGGTGTGCTCTGAAGCCTTCCCCCGGCCGGGACTTGCCTCTTGCACACACTGCACATGGGTTCTTATCTCCCCTTACGTGTGTCTCCTCTGATTGTCATCGTGCCTCTCGTCAGGGCCACGCCAGTGGGGCCTGGTGATCAGGTCCTGCTCCTGCTGCCCACGTTACTCCCACGTCTGAGAAAATAAGCTCAGCTGTCCCAGGCTGGGTGGCAAGTTCTTCCACCCCTTGAGCCAGCTGAGTCAGACTGAAGAGCCCAGCCCTTCAGGCATCATCCCACCACCACAGGATAAACTCAAGGCTGTGGGAGGCCCCCAGAAACCGCAGCTGGGGAACTGGTGGGAAAGGAATAGTGAGTGTGAGCATGGTGTGGTTTTGCTTTGCTTTATGGTACTGAGGATTGAACCCAAAGAGTGCTGAGCTACAGCCCCACCTTTTAATTGTTTTTCAATTTTTCTTTTCAGACAAGATGTCAATAAGTTGCCCAGGCTAGTCTTGACCCTGCCGTCTTCCTGCTGGAGCCTCCCCAGAGCTAGGGTTCCAGGAGTGTACAAGCCCCCAACTTAGTGTTTTGTAATCGCTCTTTTAATTATTTTACATTTTTAACTAATCTTTGTTACTTCCCTCTAAACAGACAGCTACGGACAGTTCTTCTAATTCCTCTCAGAAGAGGGAGCAACCTACACGGACAATCTCTCCCACATCCTGTGAGCATCGGAGGATTTATACCCTCGACCCATACCCCCCAGACCATTACCACCTCGACCAGGTGAGCCACCACGTCGCACCCTCCTCCTCCTCCTCCTCCTCCTCCTCCTCCTCCTCCTGAGTCGGGTGCCCTTGGCCAGCCCCCACTGCTCCCTGCTTTCTGCCCCATCCCTCTCCACATCTCCCAGATCGTCCCATGGAGCAGGTTGTTGGCACCCAATGTGGGAAGAAAGTGGTAGGCACAGGGGTACCTGGAGGAGCACGATTGAGAGCTGTCTGTCCTTAGCGAGAGTGCTGTGTTGCTGCTGTTCCTCCGTTGGGAGGTCTCCTGGCTTGCACAGGGCCACAGTCCAGGCTCAAGAATACAGCAGACTAATGCGTAATCCCAGCTGTCTGGGAGGCTGAGGCAGAAAGATGCAAGTCTGAGTCCTACTTGAGCAATCTAGGGAGACTCTGTCTCAAAATAAAACAAAAAAGGGCTGGGGACTTAGCACAGTGTGAAGGCCTCAGGTTCGAACCCTGGTATGGACCTCCCACCCACCCAAAACAAAATGCTACTTCTGTGGCTTAAGCCACCTGGCTGCATGAGCTGCCGCTCAGTTGTGCTCCAGGAGATGGCTCAAGTCTGGAATTCAGTGACTTAATAACTATGTGCTGAGCGCTTCCTTGTGTAGAAGGTTCCCAAACTGAGGGCCTGGGATGGTGCCCATGTGGAGAGATGGGGCTGCCAGATGGGGCTGCTTTGAGAAGAAAGGAACATGGGGCAGCAAGGTTTTGTCTTATTGTTTTGTTTTTTAACATAAAGCTAGATTTGTTCAGCTCATTTTTTAAAAGCTCACTTTATTGCGTGTTTCCTAATATTTTGACATTTAAAATATTCTTTAGGGGGCCGGGGAAATGGCTCAGTAGAATAAGTGCTTCCCTGCCAAGCGCAAGGGCCTGAGTTCAATTCCTGGTTCCTGCCAAAAAAGACAAAAAAAATAAAAATAAAAATAAAATATTCTTTAAAAATTATTCCATAAGGGCTGGGAAGCACCTGCCTGGCAAGAGCAAGGCCCTGAGTTCAATTCCTGGTACCAAAAAAAAAAAAAAAGTTAAAAATCACATGATGGCAGCTGTATATGGGAACTGGCTTTCTGACTTTCTTTACATTGCAAAATATAAAAAATCAGAAAAGTCCCATTTATTTAAATTCTTCCAGAGAATCCAGTGGGGAAAACAGCAAATAAATTGAGGAAAACCAATGAGGCCTGGCCCTCCCTTCAAAGAGCGCACAATTCAGTGGACAGTGATGGCAAATAGTGTGGCCAGTTCTGTAGCAGCGTTACAGGACAGTGCTGACAGCAGGCGTCGGGCATCTGTGTGTCCAGCACTGACTCACCTGGTGTGTGGCTACTTCCCTTCCCACAGCTGCACCATGCAGTTCGGCTGACAGGAAGCTCAGTGACTCGCTCGGCTGTTGTGCAATTGTGCATGGGTCACTCCTGAGCTGTGCTCTTCTCCCCCATATGGGCCTTCATGCCCAGAGGAAATCTCACTCTGTACCACAGTGGAGGTATCCTGGGCAAGGTGGAGTACAGTGGCACTGTTGGGAGCCAGCAGGACTAGGGACAGAGCAAACATTCACCCTGAGGGGCAGTGCAGCCAAATTTGAAGGGCACCGTGGCAAGCGTGGCTCTGGTCTGACTGCTTTGCGATCCTAGCGGGATTCACACCCCATCAGCCAGCTGCGCAGGCCTTGGCTCTTGTGCCTCTCATATCTCTACATCTTGACTTCCCAGGAGGATTCTAAGGAGAGCCTTGTGTGTATTGTCCACTGTAGTTCATCATATCCCTTCCCTCTTGGGACCCAAAGTGCAGAATACACCTTATATCATGACCCACTGTACACAGAACACGATTTCTTAAGTCAGAACTTACCCTTATATGTATATAGTCGGTATTCTTTTTCTTTACTTTCTTTATTTTGAGACAGAGTCTTGCTGTGCAGTTCAGCTTGGCCTTGAGCTCACTTCGTACCCAAGCTGGTCTCGAACTTGAAGCAATCCTCCTGCCTTGGCATCCCTAATGCTAGGATTACTGATGTGCACCACTGTGCCCACTGGAATATTCTTATGCTTAAAAACAAAAAATCCAGGGTCCGCAAGATAGTTCAGTAGACTTAAGTCCCTGCTTAGGCAAACACGGGGACGAGGGTTCGATCCCCAGCACTACATGCTGCACTGGTCTCACCTCTGGGCATGCCAAGCCAGCCACTGAGTCCAGGCATGGTGGCACCCACCTGTAATCCCAACACTGGGGAGGCTGAAAACAGGAGGATCACTATGAGTCTGAGCTACTAAGTGAGACCCCATACCAAATACATTAAAAAAAAAAAAAAAAAAGCCAGGCATTGTGGTGCATTCCTGTTATCACAGCGCTTAGGAAGATGGGACAGAGCAAAACCCTGTCAGAAAACAGCGAGTCTTATAAAAGCCATGCTGTATGAAAACGGTGAAACTCCTGTGAACTGTTAGGAACCAGCATAGGTGCTTTGGGCACAGCTACCAGAGGGAGGAGGGAGAGGGAGCTCTGAGGAGGAAGGTCCAGTTCTGCCTCTAGATCGGGAGTGTTGGGCTTCCGAAGAGAGTCCCACTGTTATTTCTCCGCCATCTGCGCACTTCCTTCTGTGTAAGGGCTACCGCAGCAAAGAGGAAAGTGCTATTACCGACCCATTTGATTCGTTTCCTGACCCAGTAACAGGTTGAGACCCAGGGAGAAATACATCGGGCCGGGTAGGGCATAGGGGGTGGGGGACAGGACAAGTACAAGTTGGAGTCTAGCCTGGGCAACTTAGTGATCAAATGAGACCGTGTCTCAAATGAAAAATAAAAAATATTTTTCTTTCTTTCTTTTTTTTTTTTTTTTTCGGAACCAGGGATTGAACTCAGGCCCTTGTACTTGTTAGGGAATAGGGAAGAGCTTATTCCAATGAGCCATCTCCCTGGCCCCAAAAAATATTTTTCAAAGGGCTGAAGAGGTAGGTTAGTTCAAAGACCCTGGCTCCAGTCTACAATGCTGGAAGGAAAAAAAGTAAAATGAAATCCATTCTCAATTACCAAAAAGAGTTTCTGCAAGAAAGGGTAGAGGGGGACGGTACAGCCCAGCGGTTGGGGGTGGCCTTGGGGGTATGTGCATGTGTGTGCTCGTATGTGTGTTGTGTGTGCGTGTATGTGCGCGCATGCGCAGGCAGCCACTGCTATAAAGCTGCACGCGGTTTCTCCTGGGCCACGCAGCGGATGCCGAGGCCCTACCCACAGGTGAGCTTCCCAGAGGACGACGAGGAGATCGTGCGCATCAACCCCCGGGAGAAGATCTGGATGACGGGCTACGAGGACTACAGGCATGCGCCCGTCAGGGGCAGGTACCTGGACACGGCAGCGGACGCGGACTCCTACGTGCGCTTCGCCAAGGGCGAGGTGCCCAAACACGACTACAACTACCCCTACGTGGACTCCTCGGACTTCGGCCTCGGCGAGGACCCCAAAGGCCGCGGCAGCAGCGTGATCAAGACGCAGCCCGCCCGGGGAAAGTCCCGGCGGCGGAAGGAGGACGGCGAGCGCTCGCGCTGCGTGTACTGTAGGGACATGTTCAACCACGAGGAAAACCGCAGGGGCCACTGTCAGGACGCGCCCGACGCTGCCAGAACTTGCATCCGCCGCGTGAGCTGTATGTGGTGTGCGGACAGCATGCTCTATCATTGTATGTCGGACCCCGAGGGAGACTACACAGACCCTTGCTCGTGCGACACCAGCGACGAGAAGTTTTGCCTCCGGTGGATGGCTCTTATTGCCTTGTCTTTCCTGGCCCCTTGTATGTGCTGTTACCTGCCACTCCGGGCCTGCTACCACTGCGGAGTTATGTGCGGGTGCTGCGGCGGGAAGCACAAGGCGGCAGTCTGACTCAGTTTCCCTTCTTCCCCTCCTCCATCCACAGCCACAAAGGAACTTGTTGTCTCTTACATACTCTCGTCCTCTCCTGTGCTCCCCTCTACCCCAAGGAGCGAGGAGAGGCGCCATTCCAGCCTAGGGAACCCTCCTGGTGGACTCTGCGCTCCCCGGCACCTGTCGCCCACCACATACCCATACACACACTCTCACAGGGTTCTAAGGAAAGGAACCTTCTGCATCGACTTTCGTGTATTATTACCAGCCTGTACTCAAGCTGTCTTATCCATGTGTTGATTTTCCTATCTCCTCTCCCTTCTCTTCCAGTTCAAAAGGGTCCGTGGTGCAAACTGCTGATTTTTGGTGGGTTTTGTAGTTTTTTTTTTTTTTTAATCAGGAGCATCGAAGAGGATCGATCTTTCTCGGGTGGGCTTGCCTGGTCCTGCGGAGATGTAAGGAGAGCAATGAAACAACCCCTCCCAGAAGTATTCTAACCTGCAGCCAGTTGGTATGCTTAGGAGGTGAGCTGTCAGCAATCGTGAACCGTGCGCAGTACTGCTCTAACTTGTCTAAAGCCACATTGCACATGTAAGCTACAGTGCTGTCCTTAGCCCATCTGCATATTTCTACCACACACCCCCAGCCCCCAAAATCTGTTGGATTTATTCACTGATGTGAAACGTTCACCTGTAAAATGATGAGAATTGAGCCTTAACTTCAGATTATCTTGTGCGAATCAGGAAAAATCCCTTAAACTGCATTGTATCCTCGTGGACCAGGGCTAGAAAGGGGGTTTTCAGGTTTCTCTGAGCCTCCCCACTTACCCATAAAATAGAACTTTTTAAAATTGTGTTGCCACCACTTGTTTAAAAAAATAAAAAATTAAAAAAAAAAAAAAAAAAAAAAAAAACAACCTTAGCAATATTAGGATAAGACACTAACGAAGTCCGAAGTTTTGCTTATTGTTTCGCAAGCCGGATAGTCTATTCAGACATCAGTCAGTGTTCTACGAACAAGTTCCTGTTGAAAAACACTGAAGGTTGTGGTGAATAAAACTATAGGCGCTCTCCCCCTGCCCCGCTACTGTTTTATATTAACCAGGGGGAATTTTAAATGTCATAAATTTAAAGAGTGGTGGTTTGCTTTTTGTCCGTAGAATTATGTTTTTTGTTTTCATTTTGGACTCAATTTCACATCACCAAATTCTTCATTTATACTTGGGAAAAAACAAGGCCATATGTAAAAACCCTTCCAATACCTAAGTGTCTTTCTCCTGCAACTTCACACCCAGACTTGCCACTTTGGGTGCATCGATGGTTAGGTCAGCCAGCTGATACTCTGCCTGTCGCCTTGCCGTGTAGGAGGCTTCTAATTAGCTGGAAAAGAATATTTTTCTAACACATTGCAAGGAATAGCCAAATCTTCTTATTGAAGAAAGAAGAAACATGAAGAATGGTCACTTGTACCTAGCATAGTACAATCAACCTCGTGGAGACCGCAGGGGACAGGCCTGTCGATGCTGGCTGTTCTTCCCACCCATCTTCCTGTGGTGATTGTCAGCCGACGCTGTGGCCCGGTCTCCTCTCCTCCCTTCCCTTCCCCTATCCTTTCTTTATTGCACACAGGACATCAGTCTTCAAGGAAAGGAACTTTCTTACGGTCTGCCGGTCTTACTGGGAAAATGCTAGCCATGCTTACCTTCCTGGGAATGTTTGCAGCTTGCCTGAGAGAGAGCCCATCCCACTTCTTTAGACAGATCATCAGTGTAAATAACCACTGTGCTTAGGAGTTAGTTGGTAGATGTTTTCATTTGTTAGAATGCCTGGTTGGGGCTTTCCGGTGTGGAAAATGAGCAGAGAGCAGTCCATCTGGATCAACGGAAGGAAGGGACCCTTCCCTGCCGGAAGACATCTTGAAAACCCTCAGCCAGCCTCTAACGCTGTGGAGCGACCAACCCCCCCACCTCCCCCTAGCCCCGCCCCCAATCCTGAGGTGTCTCCTCAGCCTTTCTCTAAGGTCACCTCTCTACAAAGCACAACACTAATGTATGCTTCCTCAGACCTCAGTTCAAGGGCCCCTATTTATTTCACTGAAAACGCACACACCCCAATGGCTTTGTATTTGTCACCTCCCTCTGGTCGCTACTTCTTTTACCCTTGCCCGTGTCCACCTCTTTTAGAGTTATGCTGGCAAATCTTACTTGGCGAACACTTCTGTGTTTGAAGGCAGTGGTTAAGGGCACAAATACAACCACGCGGACATCTGTGTAAAAGCGTCTCTCTGATTGCCACACTGCTGCTGAACAGTGTGTAGTATTTTCCCAGTCAGCTTTGCCATACTGACATCAATCATTTGAGAGAAATTATTCAGATTTTATTTTTATATCTGTGGTAACAAACATTAACCAAAAGATTTTCTGTTTGGAGGCTTCCCCCAGTGACCCTCCCCGCAAGCTATTTGCTCACATTAACAAATGAAAGTGCCTGAAGCATAATTCATTCTTTACCTGTATACTAAAAACCCTGTTGTATTGATTTTTTTATAATAAGCCTTTTTACCTCTGTAAAAATATATATATACAAGTGTATGATGTACATTTTAGTTCTTAACTTTTTTTATGGTTTCTAATATGTATGACCAATGTAGCCATTGCTTTAAGATGTACCATGTAAATACAAACACATCCTACCAGATTGCTGGTGTCGGGTGTTTGTCTGACTGGAGACAGTGGTGGTTGATCCTTGGGCAACTTGGGAGTTCCTTTGCAGAAAGATGTGTGCAGAGACACAGGTCTGTTTTTGTGAGGCCCTTCCCCCCTCTGATTGTGTCATATTCCCCAGGGGAGACTGGAGCTCCTTGGGCGCAGATGCCTCAAGTGAAAGGAATGCTGCGTGTGTCGCCACCCGGGGAACACCCCCTCTTCCTAGGCCAGCCTTCCCCCCAAATGCTCCTTTGAGGGAACAGCTGCACTTCCTCTGGGTTGTTTTCCACCAGTTCCTGCTGGACCTCGGGGGTGTGTGTAGTTTGGAAGGCGATTTCTCACAGAAGACAATTGTTCAGACTGCGTGACCCTTGTTCTCCTCAAAGCAGCCTTCTTGGCTCACTCTCCTTTCCAAATGGACTCCAACAGCAGAAGCTGCTTTATTTCCAGGAGGAAATAAAGGATGTCTTTTCAAGGTCACCAAGGACAAATTTTCAACTCCTTGCCTAGAGAACCAAGTAGGGTCCTTACAGAAAGTACAGATAGGGGCTGGTGAGATAGCTTAGTAGTCTAAAGTGCCTGCTTAGGCAAGCACAGGGCCCGCAGTTTGATCCCCAGCACCACAGACTGCGTCAGCCCTTCCCCCCGGGGTGGCTGAGCCAGCCACAAAAAAAAAAGTACAGATAGAGGTCCCCTACCCAAAGGGTTTTTCTAAGCATGGAAAAGGGCCTGGAGAACACTTCAAATGACACCATCCTGTGACCTAATTACCCTTGTTTGACACTGAAGGACTGAAGGTTAGAATGAGTAATTGAGGCAACCTGCAGTCACAGGCAGGGGCTGGCGGGCTGGCGGGCTGGCTGGCTGGCTGCAGGGCCTGAGTCCATGGCGGCACTCGTCCCATTGCCTTTGCTCCTGCTCTGCAGCCCTGCCGCACCCCTTGGGCTGCCTCAGGAGCAGCTTGTGCTTGGTGGCCTGTGTGCTACTGTAGAAACCACTGCACCTGTCAGCTTTAACCCTCTGCAACATGTAGCTTCCTTTAGATTTTCATGTAATGAAAGTGGTATCGAAAAGTGATGTAACTCCACCAGGTCACTGGACAGTCTCTGGTATTACTGGCCAATAGCCCATGGCTAAGTGTGTATAGCCTTCCGAGTTTCCTCAGGTATAACTGTTACCAGACTCAAGGCCCGCTGATGGCCACACAACAGGCCAGTTAGACCAAAGAGCCAGACATGCCAGCACATGAGATAGATGTAACGAGACAACACTCGTTCCCAGTGGCTAGTGTATACCCAAGCACTGAGACCCCTGCTAATTGCATTTACAAACTGTACTTTATACATTTTTTCAGTTCACTTCTACAGGTAAAGAAATGTCAAAATTAGCCCCACCCCTAACCCTAATTGTAAGCCCAAAACATCAACACTGAGCAAGCCCTAGTCTCTAACCTTAGCTCGACCCTAGCCCTAGGCTTAACACTGCTCTAACCCTCACCATAACAGTAGTCCTAACCCTAATATTCGTTACCTTAACCCAATCCTAATCCTAATCCTGAACCTAAACCTTGCCATAATCACAGCTCTGGCCCTATCTCTAAACCTACAACTAGACCTAGCCCTAACCCTAACCCTAGCTATAAATATTTACTTCTGTGGGAATAAGAGTTTCAAGGAAACTCCAACCTTGATTTAAAACAACAGATCAGGGTCGAGGAGATAACTCAACAGACTAAGCACCTGCTTAGGTGAGCACAGGGACCCGGGTTTGATTCCCAGCATATGCCACGCCAACCCCCACCCTCAGGTGTGCTGAGCTACCCACTGAGACCAGACATGGTGGTCTGAGACCAGACACCTATAATCCCAGCACTGGGGAGGCTGAAACAGGAGGATCACTACTAGTCCGAGTTGCATAGTGAGACCCTGTGCCAAATATATTTTAAGAAATAAAAGCAGAACAAGTCTGTATCAGTCTTCTAACATAGTTCATGCTAGAGAGATACCCAGAACTCTGTGGTCTGCACTTCAGTTGAACAGAACACATTTTTGGCCAAATCACTACAGAGACTTGCTCTACAGGCATCTGGAAATCAGTATTAAAAACAGACATTCCAGAGAATATAGCTATGCTTCACGCCCTGAATCTAGTCTGTACCCCAACACTGAGAACTGTGTACAGCACCAACACTAAGCCAACTATAGTCTTGCTGTTAACACTAGGCCTACTTCTAGTCTTAACACTAACCCTAACCTAACAACTAGCCCTAACCTCAAGCCTAATGCTACATAAACCCAAGCTGTAGCACTCAGCTAGCAACTAAACCTAACATTAAAGCTACCAACCCAAACCATACAGTAAAACTAAACCAAGGCCTAGTGCTACTTATAGCCCTATACTTAGCCATAACCCTAGCCTTAATCCTAGAACTAATGCTAACACAAAAGCTAATCCTAGCTTAGCACCAGCCTTAACCTTCACCCCTAAATTTAACCTCAGCCCAGTCCTAACCTTAACCCTAAACCCAACTCTAACCCTAGCCCTGGTTCTAGGCCTAGCTCTAACCCTAACACTAACCTTAAAGTTAACAGCCACCTTCATCTAAAATAGCAGAACAAATCTGTGATACCAGTTCACCATCTAACCTAGAGCCCATGCTAGTGAGATATTCAGAACTCTGCTGCCTCTTGCTGTCCAACGGAACTAAGTATTACTTTCTTAGACCACTTTGCTATTACTATAGAGGCCCAATATACATACACTCAGAAAGTTAGTATTATAGAAAGTCAGGCATTCCAGAGAGCACAGGCAGACTAATTTCTTGTGTTTTATCTATACCCAAGAAGTGTGTCTTAGCTGTTGGCAGTTACAAAGTACATTTAATGCACTATGCTTTTGTTCATTTCTAGTGCCAGGCAAAATTCAGAGCCAGCAAATTTATTATTTCTTAAATCTTAGACCTAACCTTAAACCTAACCCTAGCTTAACACTAAACCTAATCCTAAACTTAACTCACCAAAGCCTTATCTGTGTACGTAACCCTATACATAACCCTTCCATAGCTACATCCTTAACCCCAAACCAAATCCTAAACATAACCTAACCCTAATTCTAACCTTAACCCTACCTCTAGCCCTACACATGGCCCTAAACCTCATACAAACACTATCCCTAACCCAATACTATTTCCCTTGCCCTAATCCAGCTATAACACTAAACCTAACCCTTATCCTAGCCTAAACCCAATTTAGCCCTAGCCCTAAACCTAACTCTAACCCTAACCCTAGCTCTAAACCTAGCTTTAGCCCTCACCCTAACCCAAACCTTAGCACTACTCCCATCCTGAGATTAACTTTAGCCCTAACAGTAGCCCTTAACCTAAACCTAACTGTAGACCTAGCCCATTCTTAATTAATCCCTAAGTCATACTGCAAAGTGTGACATGGTGACATAGAGAATGAAAGATTACTCGAGATAAGATTTAGTGCAACTGCCAAGGAGGGCCACTGGGGCTTTTCAACCAAGAACTCTCAGTATTAGGGAGATTCCCAGGAATAGTCCTGAAGCTGAGAGCCCCCGGACTTTTATTTAGAATATCATTGTAAGAGAAAAAAGCAGGAGAAAAGCAGTTTGGTCAAGGAATTGTCTCAAACCTAGGTAGTTCTCTTGGGAAAAGGAGAAGGACAATAGCCAGACACAGCACACAGCACTAAACTAATCTAAGGGTCTTGTTTCACCATTCGCTCCTTGGCCAAGTCTTCTCTCTTTTAATTTTGCACGATCAGGAATGTGGAGGAAAAAGAAACGTAGTGCAGATTGGTTATAGGACTTGACCTTGCAGGAAGGTCATCATGGCCTCAATGAGAAGTGGCCGCGGGGGTAGCATTGGAGAATTCCAATGTGAAGGTTGAGGCTGGAAAATCAACTTTGGAGGTTTAGCCAGTAGACAATACCTTTAAGATGATATTGTGTGCTTCCATTTATAATTTATGAAGCTGGACCTGCTGTCAACCTTGGAGATGAGTAATCTCTGTCCGAATTTTCATGATAGGCACCATGGAGAAGGTGCTGGACTTCCTCTTAGGACTCTGAATGATTCAATGAGATAGATGTGGTACACATAGACTGGTAACCAGAGCAACTGTATGTCCAGAGGGCTTGCTGGCATTCACCAAGTCAGCTGACTCTTGCCTCAAGGGCATTAGGTCCCTGTAAGATGTCTTTATCAATGTTGGTCTGAGTTAGCAGTTCAAAGGTAGCTGTCACCTAATGGGAAACATTTTTGTCTGGTATGTTCAGGTGTTTAGGTAATTTGTGCAAGGCTTGAATTTCCCATCCATTCTCTCATGAGATTGGTGGGGATTTGTCATCGGGGATATCAGTGACTACAACAACTTGATGAGTATGCGCAATGGAAATCTGTCTGCCGGGAGAGCTCACGTGTGAAGTAACAGATGCCAAACCCTAGAGTAGCCAGAATGGCTGTGGTTCCTCCCAGAGTCCCTTATGGGACTAGGAGATGGGGAGTAGTAGTGAAGTTTTGTCTGTAGAAGAGGTGTCATTGGAGAAAAAAGGTGGTTTGGGACCTCCCTGTGTAGCTGTGTCGAAGGCAGGTGGGGTAGGAACATGAGCCCAATAAATCCTGTCACTTACTGGAGGTATATGTGTCAGCAAACTGCGAAAGATAAGAACGCTCTTGACCTTTGTCCTTCTGCGGTTGTGAGTGACTTATGTGATCTCTGCAAGAAACAGGTTTTCGGAAGAGAAGGCAGCTCTTGTGCTTTACGGCGTCAGCTCAGTTTGATAATGAGTAGCTCTTCTGGAATGCCAGGCAGACTTCTTAGCCACAATTCAGGAAAGTCAGTCTCATCAAGCTGAAGTCTTTCCACTGTATGCCCTCTGTTTTGGTTTTAGCAGTTAGATTTTGAGGAGCACAACCCCAGTAGCTGGTAGGGTGGTAAGGAATTTCAGTAACATGTTTCATATGCCAGA